TCTTTTTTAATCTTCAGTGTGAAATCCTAAGGTTCTCTATTTCGGTGCTTAAATTCTCATGAGTTGCTTATATTCTATGGAACCTTCAGGTTGAGGATCTTGCCCGCCTGTCATTTCAGACAACCCCTGTTTATATTGATGTTGATGATGGACGAAATAAGGTAGATTTGGAGTTGAATTGTGATCCTTCAAACAACCATAAATGCACATGCATACACTTGCCATTTAAAGCTGACTAAATGCTGGTTATTATAGGTTACCAATGAAGGATTGCAACAAGGCTATTGTGTTGTGCCGAGTGCCAAAAGATTTGTCCTTTTATATTCATTTCTGAAGAGGAATCAGTCAAAGAAAGTGATGGTCTTCTTCTCATCATGTAATTCAGTCAAATTTCATTCAGAACTTCTCAGATACATTCAGGTGGATTGCTTTGATATCCATGGAAAACAAAAGCAACAGAAGCGAACCTCTACCTTCTTTGACTTCTGCAAAGCTGACAAGGGCATCTTGCTTTGTACTGATGTAGCGGCTCGTGGACTTGATATTCCTGCCGTGGTATGTTTGTGATGGAGGATATAACAGTTAACACCAATAAATCTGATATAGGATACATAATCTGATTGCGTGATTGTATTTTGTTGTTAACTAAATGGTAACCTAGGAATTTACCAGAGACAATTTCAGGGCTGTTGACTTAGCGCTTCCCTGTGATAACACTAAATTGGATTAGGGCTGATAGACACTGAAACAACTTGCAAACAATGAAAGTAAGAAGAATGATAAATTGTAGGTTTACCAATTGGAATTCTTTCCACATTACACCTAAGATCTCTTGGATTTATACCTAGGGTTAGGATCTTGTTACACATATTTAAAAGAGCTTTAGAGTTACATATCATGTATAAAAAATATTCAGAATTGCAAGCATTACATTGATATATATGGACTCCAGAATTTCCTAAGCTGACTAGGAAATGGCAATTTAATATAACTTAGATACAATAATTGACCTATTACTGGAATCTATGGCTTATAGCCACAATCCTGCCGCTTACGTCCAGAAAATCCAAAATTTACTAAAGTATTTTGCATCCATTGAACTTGAGAAAACTGAAAATATAGAAAGCTTGCGGCTTCACATAGAAGACAAGGAACTAAGGCCTAATGTTATATAGGAAAGAATGTCAAGGATCCCATGTATCTGTTATCTAATTTGAGCCTTTTCAATCTTCTATGGTTGTTTTTTCTCAAGTATTTTGTAGCTGGGACAGAATATTTGCTTTTATGATTTTTATGATCTCTCAATAAAGGTTCTTGTCTATGCATTGAATTTCTGTTTGTATACCTCAGTATATTGCCTTCGTTACATTAATAGTGCTCTAAATTGTAGTTGTCCCTTTTTTTTCCTTGGTTTCTTAAAATCGTGATGCGTAATTTATATTAATTCTTTGGTTAAAATATTTGCTTAACTTAGTCAATATATTCATTTAATTATCATTATAAAATATTTGAGACTATGGCTGTGTAAAGTATATAATTGCTTAAATGGCAATGCAATATCCAATTTGTAGTGGCAGTTATTAGCATACTCCAAAAGAGATGGTGATTACCAACCAGAAGGCAATGTGGAGATGATATAGATTGAAACAAGATACAAACCAACATGATTTTTTCGGAGCTTAGAAGAAAATTTAATATAGATTTTTAAGAAATATCGGTTACAGCTATTTCTTCTAGTAATTGTATGGCCATGGCACCGTGCTGGTTGAAATATGTTATGAAATTTAGATTGATGACTACAATTGTTGACAATCTTTTTTCTCTTTTACTCTTGCAGGACTGGATTGTGCAGTATGATCCTCCTGATGAACCCAAGGTCTCAACAATTCTTTTTGTTTTAATTTCTTTCTAGTTAATCTTGGTCTTGTTTCATTGCTGGTCATACTGCTTTGTAACATATAAATTCTGGTTTCTTCTTGCAGGAATACATTCATAGGGTTGGTCGAACTGCTCGTGGAGAAGGTGCAAAAGGAAATGCATTGCTTTTCCTGATTCCAGAAGAGTTACAATTTCTTCGTTATCTGAAGTTAAGTATATTAATTTTAGAACTTTGGTCATAGAGCTAAATCTGATTGGGATAACTGCTAACTGATGATCTAAGTGCCACTTTAGAAAATAGTGAACCAATTTCCTTAAGTTGTGCTTTTGCAGCATGTTTCATATGAAAAAAGTTACTGATGAACCTTTTGGTTTGAAGGACACAATAAGCAACTTTTTTCTGAACCTCATAATTGTGTTTACTTTTAGGCGGCAAAAGTCCCTGTTAAAGAGTATGAATTTGATCACAAGAAGCTGGCAAATGTGCAGTCACATTTGGTAATTTTCCACTTCCTCAGTTTTCATGATTAAGTTATTTTAAGTGCAGGGAAACTTAGCTTTCACTATTTAAATTTATGCAGGAGAAATTAGTTGCCAACAACTATTATTTGAACAAGTCAGCTAAAGATGCATATCGATCTTACATACTGGCATATAATTCACACTCTATGAAAGATATCTTCAATGTTCACCGGCTTGATCTGCAGGTATTAGTCCACACCTTTTCTAATAATCAACAGATCGTGTTAAGCCTTCTTTTATGTGGTGCTTAGGAATATGAAGATTTTTGAATGGTGCTATAATAGTTTGGCAATCATGCATTTTTCAGAAATTGGTGACAAGAAACCACATGTAAACGCAACAAATTTAGGGATGAAAATAATAAATTAGAAAAAAGATTATTTGCCTGTTGCTATTCTGTTGCTGCGTGGCTTAATTTCACTGCTTTAAGATTTAATGCTGAGCAATCAACATATGTTTCTTTGTTGTTATTGTCGTTGTTGTTATCGTTATTACAGGATAAGATATGTTGGCTTACCATTGAAAATTATACAATGTTGTTACTGTGGTATAATTGCAAGTTTTTTTTGTTTATTTGAGCAGGCTGTAGCTGCGTCATTTTGTTTCTCGTCACCTCCAAAGGTTAATCTGAGCATAGACAGCAGCGCGTCCAAGTTTAGAAAGAAATCGCGTAAAGTTGAAGGAAGCCGAAATGGATTTAGTGAAAGCAATCCTTATGGAAGGCAGGGAGGCGAAGACAATAAACGTCAGTTTGTAAGGTATTAGCAGAATTTGTGTTGGCAAATCCCACATTGATCTGCAGAAATTTTGCAAGAGTTTTGTGTTTTACAATTTACTAATTGTGACTTGTGGCCTCACACAAAATTAATATTTGTTCATTAGATTTGAAATCTGTAACTTAATGTAACGATGTTAATGTTAAACAGATAAGACTTTAATTTAAATTAGTCCAGCATTTTTTAATTTAAATTTTGGTGATCTCTATTCCTACCATGAAATTATAGATTTGAGTTTGTCTTCTGGCTTCTGCTTTTGATTTTCTCAAATGATTTGTGTGAAAATGAAATAATAATATTACTTTATGGAAATAATACAAAACCAGTAATAGATGTTCAAAAAAAAAAAAAAAAAATACTCATATTTGTATGAAGTGACCGTTATTCTCAGTTTTGTATGTGATGAATTATAGTTAACAAAGAAATTGAAATAATCAAAAGTATATTATATATATAAAACTATAAAAGATTTGAAAACCTATAATCAATAATCATAAAACTAATATTATAGGAGTTACAATGTGAACAAATTTGTAATAAGTTACAAATATAACAATAATTATATGGTCAAACGACATGCATCTACCCATAGTTTGTCATAACGACAATTTGATACTTAAAAGGTTTGAAAATGACAAATATTCACTTTCTGTCTAACTCTGTTAATAAAATCTGTTTAAGTAAGGGCAATATAGTAATTTTACATCCATTAATTTTAAATTAATCAATTAATCCCTAAATTTTTTTATCATATTTTTTTATTTCATTTTTCTCGTCTCTCACTTATCTTCTTCTTCATCTCTCCCTTCTCTTTCTTTCTTTTTCTCCGTCTTTTACCTCCTCCCCTTCTCTTTTGAGTAATACTACACTTACAAAGAAATTTTACAAAGATCTCTATACAAAGTGATGTGTCAAAAAATAAATGGAAGAGTGAATTTAATAAGTTTGACTTTTTATTTCACTCTTCCATTCATTTTTTGTCACCTCACTTTATATGGAAATCTTTGTAAGATTTCTTTGTAAATATAGTATTATTGTTCTCTTTTTTCCTTCTCAGTTCTCCCTCTTTTCCCTCCTCCCCTTCTCCTTTTTTACTTTTCTTCTCCCTCTTTTCCCTTCTCTTTCTTCCCTTTCTTCTCCAGTTCTCCCTCTTTTCCCTCCTCCCCTTCTCTTTTTTCCTTTTCTTCTCCTTCTTTTCCCTTCTCTTTCTTTCCTTTCTTCTCCGTCTTTTCCCTCCTCCCCTTCTTTTTGCGTCTCTCTCTCAAAGCCCATGCTCATGCCTGAATTTTTATTCTAAATTTTAATTGATATTTAAATATTTATAATATCGTTTACTCATATTTGTTGAGTGAAAATTGGGTAAATTTTATATATATGAACATTTAGTTAAACACAGCAAAAAGTTAATCAATAAAAAACACATACACAAACTCTATATACTATAAGATCGATAAATGTATGTATATTGAAATATGAAACCTAGTCGCTAAGATTTCCATTGAAGAGAGGTTATTAATCCTCTTCTAAGCTTGCATGCATGAGATGTTTCTTCATGGTTTTATTCCTTCAAAAACAATAAATAATTAGAAAACTGAAGACTAGAAATTGAAAAAATTGGGAAAAGATAAACTTATATCACTTAACCAAGTGGTCATCTAGTAAAACATTTTAAATTTTATGACTATTTAATTCATTCAAATCTCGAAATGATATTTTAATTAAAGGTTTTTAGTCTTTCAAATTTTATTTTTATATTTTCAGAAAACATTTTATCCTATTAAAAAAAGCAAAAACAAAAATATCTGGATAGCGTAAATAAAAGCTTTATACTCGCTTTAACGGACAAACAATAACCTGAACTGAAAGAATCTAGATTTTCTAACTACTTCCACACCACAAAACTTAGAATGGCATCGCGCGTGCTATCCACGGCCTTGCTGACTCCTCCGAAATTCATCAAACCCTCTTCAAGCTGCTCCTTTTCTTTGCCCTCAAAAAGAGTTTTGATTAAAAGCAATAGAAGTTTGAAGTGCAAAGCCGTTGGTGAAAGCTCTCAGGGCTCTTTTGATCAGACGGTTTATAATGGTGTTTACGGCCCTTGGACTGTTGAATCCTCCGATGTGAGAGAGGTAATTTTGTTTTTGTTTTTGTTGTTGTTGTTGTGTGGTATAGAGTAGTGTGTTTTGGAAGCGCTTTTGAGGCCATTAAAAGCGCTTTTCAAGTAGTTGAATTTTGGTGGTTTTGTGTCAATTTTGTTCGGCTGGGATGCATTATTGAGATAGAAACAGAGAGTAAGTCTTCAAGTGTCTCACTACTTGGAGAAACACTTGTAGGTTTTCTTTTTTGAATCAAGCACTTGGAAGTGTTTCTGTTTAAGGAAAAGCACTTTTAAGTCAAAGATATTAGACAGTGAAAAGTGATTTTAGGACAAAGTATTTATGAAGTGTTTCTTAAAAAGGGTTTTTTTTTATGTAAGAAAAACACTGATGCTGGAAAAAGAACAGTTATGAAGCGGTTTTTCAAGAAGTAGTTGTCTAGTTGAACTATATTTTTGGAAATGCGCTTCTAATTGATAGGTGTTAGGCAGTGGAAAACTTGAGTTTTGGACAGCTAATAATTAAGTGTTTCTTAAAAAGGACTTTTTAGATGAGAAACACATAAAAGAATTGAAAAGAATTATTATGAAATGGTGTTTTAAAATGCTCTTTGAATTGTGATTTTAAGATTCACTTAGTAAGTGCTTTTCTGGAAGCAACACTCCAATGTTTTCTACCAAAGAAATCCCATTCGCATCTGTAGTAGATGTAATGAACAGATTTTATGTTTAAGTAACTGGATGCTTAAATTTTAAATTTGCAATGTCTTATGTGAGTAAGCAATATAGTTAAGGTTAGATTATTACCCTGTCGAATTGTTACTGTTTCTATAACTCAAAGATCATATTTGTTTTATGGGACTATTCTTAGTCCACTACTAATACATGGGACAAAATTTTAGTCCCAAATTCATGGTGTGTATGATAGGATAGGACTAATTTTTTGTTCTAGGGGATGAATTTAGGAGTCAGTTCTTAGACTATTGACTTTAGTCAGTCAAGTCATAAAGGGCAGTGCACATGGGACTAAGCCTTAGTCCCATGTATTAGTGCCGGACAAGAAATAGTCCCATGAAACAACTAGGGCCTTAGGGTATACTTCTAGTACACAGCTTTCAAGTGACAATACAATCTAGGTGCATTGGGGAGTATTTTTGTAGAAAGTGCTTCTAGTGATTTCTATAAAATACTAAAAGTTCTTTGTAGAAAATATTCTTCGAAAGGAACCTCAAGTGTTTTTCTTAAGTAAAATTTACTTGTGACAAAGCAACTTTTCAAATTCTTTTTTATTTGAAAACCATTTCAGCTGAACTCTACAAAATTGACTCAAAAGCACTTTTTACAGTTTGACATGTGTTTGCTCACTGTGCAACATCTCATAGGCCTCACTTCAGTTTCCTTTGCGTGTTCTGTTGGGAGTTTTAGTATATTTTTCTTCTTGTGCAGGTGATTTTGTATCGGTCAGGACTAGTAACTGCTGCTGCATCATTTGTGGCTGCAGCATCAGCTGCCTTCTTACCTGCTGACTTATTGTTGAGTGAAATAATCAAGCAAAATCTCGACTTGTTTTACACGCTGGGAGCTGGCGGGCTAGGCCTATCATTAGTTTTGATTCACATCTATGTGACTGAGATTAAGCGCACCCTTCAAGCATTCTGGGCACTTGGTGTTGTTGGATCTTTGGCAACATACACAGCACTCGCTCGACCAACTGGCGAAAATTTGGTACAATATGTTATAGATAACCCAACTGCTGTCTGGTTTGTCGGTCCTCTCTTTGCTGCTCTAACTGGACTTGTCTTTAAAGAAGGTAAAATCCCATTCGTTAATATGCATCTTTTGCTTGTTTAATTAGGATATGTACTGATTAATGAATGATTTTACAATGTTGAGATTAATCCTTTCTTTTAATGAGAACCAGGGAAAGGGAAATAATCTCATTTGTTTTAGTAAGTTGTATTGAGTGAGAATTATAGAGGCGAAAAAAGGTGACAGTAAATATATATGCTTAATTTGCCAGGAGATTGTTGATGGTATCACTTATCATATGTACGTTAACTTATGAAAAGAATCTGTGCCTTCTAATCAGATAGGTCATGATTTTATACTCTGAAAGTAAATCTTCAATCATCTGGCCATTACCTGTTAGCATATAATTTAGCCTTTCAAATTTACAAATACTAGCATGATGCATACTTTTTCCCAGTTGAATGTTTTGGCTGATTTTGTAATCTATGATTAATTTCCAAACTGAATTCTTGAATCTCCCGAACAGGCCTCTGCTACGGAAAGCTAGAAGCGGGAATTCTTACATTCATTATACCGACAGTACTTCTGGGTCACCTGGTACAGTTCTTGCAACTCTGTCGATATAATTATCAAATTCTGCAATATTTTGAATGCATTCCTAGATGAATTTGGCCAACTTTATGTTTTATCCAACAACTTCAAAGTTCATATCAATGTAGTGGGTTAAAGACTCATAATTTCTTGCTAACCATTGAAACTTATTGAATATGATTTGATCAAAACTCAAGTGGCTTCTCTCCCTAGCTTTTAAACTCTATTTATGTCGACCTTGATGAGCTTCACCTGAAATATGCAGACTGGTTTGATGGATGATGGAGTAAAACTTACTCTTCTTGGTTCTTGGATGGCACTACTTGTCATATTTGCCGGAAGGAAGTTTACGCAGCCCATTAAGGTACATTATTTATCAATCAAATTTTGAAACTAGTGATCTTCTGGCAGTTTAGTTTAATTTCTTATATAAAGATTCCACAGCTTCTAATGCTTTCTCAATTACTTTCAAGGATGACATAGGTGACAAATCTGTCTTCACATTCAATTCTCTATCAGAGGACGAAAAGAAGGCCTTGATTGAGAAGCTTGAGCAGCAAAAGTAGAGTCAGAATCATACTTAGTAACCAGTGAGTGCCGAAACACAAACACTATATTGTGAATATTTAGTTACTTTTAAGGGAAAAGTTTTGAGGATCTCTTATAACTTGGTTCTGTGTATACAACATAATGTTGCTGGCTTTTGTGACATTTTATGTTGAGTCTTCATATGTACTAGTTCTTTAGAGAGTTCTTGGGATATTTATAAATGCAATTTTGGCTTTTCCAAAAGTAAATACAATTGAATCGCCCAAATTAGCCATATTCTTATTTTATTTTTCATAATTTCATGTAAATTGATCATATTCATGTAATTTATTGTGTGATCTTGTTGCATTTGATCAAGAACATCATTTTGAAGGGTATTTGTGCATTGATGGTCATCGTTTTCATTTCGGGTTTTCCATTTTCGTTTTGAAAAACAGCAGAAAATTCTTTCAGTTGAAAATTCCATATAACAACATAAATATGATTTTAATGACTTGTTGTCACTTCAATTTTCAAGTGAAAAATAGTTTCTTTGTTATAAGGAGGTTTAAATTTATTTTTTAGTTCAAAACTAGAGCCCTTGAGAAACAATGGCCAATAATAGTCATATAGATGTCCATTATAGGACTTAAAATCTTATCTTTTGAAAACAAATCACAGACCTGATCGTTCGACAAATCTCTTATGAGTTAGAAAATTCAATGAATCCAATAAACAAAGATACTAAATCTAACCAATTATATGGCAAACGACATGCATCTACCCATAGTTTGTCATAACGACAATTGATACTTAAAGTTTTGAAAATGACAAATATTCACTTTCTGTCTAACTCTGTAATAAATCTGTTAAGTAAGGGCATATAGTAATTTTACATCCATTATTTTAAATTAATCAATTAATCCCTAATTTTTTTTATCATATTTTTTATTCATTTTTCTCGTCTCTCACTTATCTTCTTCTTCTCTCTCCCTTCTCTTTCTTTCTTTTCCTCCGTCTTTTACCTCCTCCCCTTCTCTTTGAGTAATACTACACTTACAAAAGAATTTTACAAGAGCTCTATACAAATTGATGTGTCAAAAAAAATGGAAGAGTAATTTAATAAGTTTGACTTTTTATTTCACTCTTCCATTCATTTTTTCACCTCACTTTATATGAAATCTTTGTAAGATTTCTTTGTAAATATGTATTATTGTTCTCTTTTTTCCTCTCAGTTCTCCCTCTTTTCCCTCCTCCCCTTCTCCTTTTTTCTTTTCTTCTCCCTCTTTTCCCTTCTCTTTCTTCCCTTCTTCTCCGTTCTCCCTCTTTTTCCCTCCTCCCCTTCTCTTTTTCTCCTTTTCTTCTCCTTCTTTTCCCTCTCTTTCTTTCCTTTCTTCTCCGTCTTTTCCCTCCTCCCCTTCTTTTTGCGTCTCTCTCTCAAAGCCCATGCTCATGCCTGAATTTTTATTCTAAATTTTATGATATTTAAATATTATAATATCGTTTACTCATATTTGTTGAGTGAAAATTGGGTAAATTTTATATATATGAACATTTAGTTAAACACAGCAAAAAGTTAATCAATAAAAAACACATACACAAACTCTATTACTATAAGATCGAAAATGTATGTATATTGAAATGAAACCTAGTCGCTAAGATTTCCATTGAGAGAGGTTATTAATCCTCTTCTAAGCTTGCATGCATGAGATTTTTCTTCTGGTTTTATTCCTTCAAAACAATAAATATTAAAAACGGAAGACTAAAATTGAAAAATTGGGAAAAGATAAACTTATATCACTTAACCAATGGTCATCTAGTAAAACATTTTAAATTTTATGACTATTTAATTCATTCAAATCTCGAAATGATATTTTATTAAGTTTTTAGTCTTTCAAATTTTATTTTATATTTTCAGAAAACATTTTATCCTATTAAAAAGCAAAAAAAATCTGGATAGCGTAAATAAAAGCTTTATACTCGCTTTAACGGACAAACAATAACCTGAACTGAAAGAATCTAGATTTTCTAACTACTTCCACACCACAAAACTTAAATGGCATCGCGCGTGCTGTCCACGGCCTTGCTGACTCCTCCGAAATTCATCAAACCCTCTTCAAGCTGCCTTTTTGTCCTCAAAAAGAGTTTTGATTAAAAGCAATAGAAGTTTGAAGTGCAAAGCCGTTGGTGAAAGCTCTCAGGGCTCTTTTGATCAGACGGTTTATAATGGGTTTTACGGCCCTTGGACTTTTGAATCCTCCGATGTGAGAGAGGTAATTTTGTTTTTGTTTTTGTTGTTGTTGTGTGGTAAGAGTAGTGTGTTTTGGAAGCGCTTTTGAGCCATTAAAAGCGCTTTTCAAGTAGTTGATTTTGGTGGTTTTGTGTCAATTTTGTTGGCTGGGATGCATTATTGAGATAGAAACAAGAGTAAGTCTTCAAGTGTCTCATATTGGAGAAACACTTGTAGGTTTTTTTTTTTGAATAAGCACTTGGAAGTGTTTCTGTTTAGGAAAAGCACTTTTAAGTCAAAGATATTAGACAGTGAAGTGATTTTGGACAAAGTATTTATGAAGTGTTTCTTAAAAAGGTTTTTTTTTTATGTGAAAAACACTATCTGGAAAAAGAAGTTATGAACGGTTTTTCAAGAAGTAGTTGTCTAGTTGAACTATTTTTTGGAAATGCGCTTCTAATTGATAGGTGTTAGGCAGTGGAAAACTAAGTTTTGGACAGCTAATAATTAATTTTTTCTAAAAAGACTTTTTAGATGAGAACACACATAAAAGAATTGAAAAGAATTATTATGAATGGTGTTTTAAAATGCTCTTTGAATTGTGATTTTAAGATTCACTTAGTAGTGCTTTTCTGGAAGCAACACTCCATTTTTTTCTACCAAAGAAATCCCATTCGCATTTTGTTAATTAACAGATTTTATGTTTAAGTAACTGGATGCTTAAATTTTAAATTTGCAATGTCTTAGTTGAGTAGGCAATATATTTAAGGTTAGATTTATACCCTGTCGAATTGTTACTGTTTCTATAACTCAAAGATCATTTGTTTTATGGGACTATTCTTAGTCCACTACTAATACATGGGACAAAATTTTAGCCCCAAATTCATGGTGTGTATGACAGGATAGGACTAATTTTTTGTTCTAGGGGATGAATTTAGGAGTCAGTTCTTAGACTATTGCTTTAGTCGTCAAGTCATAAGGGCAGTGCACATGGACTAAGCCTTAGTCCCATGTATTAGTGCCGACAAGAAATAGTCCCATGAAAACAACTAGGCCGTATGGTATACTTCTAGTACACGCCTCAGTGACAATTTAAATTAGTCCAGCATTTTTTAATTTAAATTTTGGTGATCTCTATTCCTACCATGAAATTATAGATTTGAGTTTGTCTTCTGGCTTCTGCTTTTGATTTTCTCAAATGATTTGTGTGAAAATGAAATAATAATATTACTTTATGGAAATAATACAAAACCAATAATAGATGTTCAAAAATAAATTACTCATATTTGTATTAAGTGACCGTTATTCTCAGTTTTGTATGTTATGAATTATAGTTAACAAAGAAATTGAAATAATCAAAAGTATGTTATATATATATATATAACTATAAAAGATTGGAAAACCTATAATCAATAATCATAAAACTAATATTATAGGAGCTACAATGTGAACAAATTTGTAATAAGTTACAAATATAACAATGATATTTTTATTCCCTTGTAGTACCTAGGCTAGGGGAGGACTCTTTGGCTTTAGGACATCGCATTTTTTGCGTCTCTCTCTCTAAGCTCATGCCTGAATTTTTATTCTCAATTTTAATTGATATTTAAATATTTATAATATCTTTTACTGATATTTGTTGAGTGAAAATTGGGTAAATTTTATATATATGAACATTTAGTTAAACAGAGCAAAAAGTTAATCAATAAAAAATACATACACAAACTCTATAAGATGGAGAAATGTTTTTGTATATTGAAATATGAAACCTAGTCGCTAAGATTTCCATTGAAGAGAGGTTATTAATCCTCTTCTAAGCTTGCATGCATGAGATGTTTCTTCATGGTTTTATTCCTTCAAAANAATCTCTTATGAGTTAGAAAATTCAATGAATCCAATAAACAAAGATACTAAGGCTCTGTTTGTTTCATTTTTGGGAATACTATTATTAGTATTCTCAAAAAAGTTAAACAGTAAGGCTCCATTTGGTTTCCTTTTGGGAATACTACTATTAGTATTCCCAATGAAGTTAAACAGTAAAATTGCAAAAATTCACAATATTATTCAACTTTTTTTAAACCCTTTAAATTTGTTAATTTAATTAAATACCCCTAAATATTTTTTAAAAAATTGCAAAAAAACCTTAGCAACCTATATTTACCAGATTTCAGCCATCATCGTCAGAAAATAGTTGGAATTTGGTATAATGGCGCACTACCGGCTGAATCTGGCCGGTAGTGCGCCGATCTAGCGTTTTCCGACCAGATCCACGATGGATCTAGCCGGAAAAGGCCAGATCTTTGGCCATAGCCAGTCGTCAACAACAGCCAACAGATGGTCGTCGTTGACCATCAACGACAGCCGTATCTTTGGCTGTCGTTGACGAGCAAATACGGTCAGATCTAGCCGTAGATCTGGCCTTTGCCGGTAGATCTGGTCGGAAAAGGCCATATCGGCGCACGACATGCAAGATCCAGCCGGTCATGCGTCGATACAACGACTCCGGCCACCCTCCGGCGATGGTGGCCGGGTGTCCATATTTAATGGGTAGGTTGGGGGTGTTTTTGTTAACTTTTAATATTTTATTATAGGGGTGTTTAGTAAAAAAACAAACATAGGGGGTATTTTTATTAATTTCCAAATCCTACATTGTAACACCTGCCCAATTCAACTTTTTTTAACTTTTTTCAAAAAAATTTTCTAAAAAGTGTAAAAAAGTGAACCAAACGGAGCCTAAAATGTCATTATTCGCAAAATATTATTATATATTTTTAAATTTCTTTTAAACCTCCTAAATTTGTAAATTTAACTAAACACTCTCAAATATTTTTTTTAGAAATTGCAAAAACACTCCGGCCACCCTCCAGCGGTGGTGGCTGGCTGTCCGTATTTAATGGGTGGGTTGGGAGTGTTTTTGTTAGCTTTTAATATTTTATTATAGGGGTGTTTAGTAAATAAATAAACATAGGGGATATTTTGTTAATTTCCAAATCCTACATTGTAATACCCGCCCAATTTAACTTTTTTCAAAAGATTATTCTAAAAACTATCAAAATAATAAACCAAA